ATATGATTGCATGGTTAGATGGTAGATCTCTTGAGAACATAGGGTATTATGTTTAGGAGTTTTAAAGTTACTCTTTCTTTTTTCTTTTTTTTTTTTTTTTTTTTTTTCATCGTTTCACCCCCAAGCATGGCAATAGAATCCCCCCCTAGGATGCAAGAAGTTATTGAGAGTGAAAGAAACAAAGGACACAAAAGAACGGGATCCAGGAATGTGGAAGGCAACGATTGATGTCGCATTAAATTTTTGAAGATTAAAGTTGTCAGGAAGCTGAAAGAGAGTTCCACACGCAAGAAGTGTGAGAGAGAAGAAAAAATTGGCACCGGACTCATGGCTAAAAGTAGTAATTACGACAGCGAAATTATGAGACCTAGCTGCCAATCTAGAACTGCGTTTAGATTCGTAAAGTCATGGTACCAAAGAGGAAAGCTCATCAGAACAATGGCCTTGAAGATGTTTATAGAAAAGGCACAGGGAAGCTGCTTTACAGCGGTGGGGAAAGTGACTGAAGCCGGGATGACAGGACAGGACTGCGAGTATTGCACATTCTTTGGGTTTTTGTTAAGAATCTCTAAATACCTAACAGAAGTACCAAACCAGATGGGGCAACAATATTCAATTCACAGATTGCCTAGCATGACATGGTGAACTGACTTTCTTAGCAGCTGGCTTGATTCAATATAATCAGTCCATTTTATGCCAGTAGAAAATTTAAGATCAAGAAGACCCAGTGAATTGTTCTCCTGGTGCTTAGCATCAGCCATACTGATGGAAGGCAAAAAGGTCTTTCAAGATTATTAATAGAGCCATTTTGTTTTGAAGATATTAACATATAATTAATAAATCAACCAATTTTTTTTTTTCTTCTTTTTTTATTCTGCAGATGAAGACGTTGCCTCTCAGCAACAGCAGCAGCAGCTTCTGCATCATTTTCATCATCACCATCATCATCACCATCCAGTCCTCTGTGATTCTAATGCTACTGGCGGCCCAACTCATTTACTGGCTGGCAGTGGCCTGGGTTCTGGTTCCACCCAGGCCCCCCAGTTACCATGCTCCCAGTCTCCTGCCTACACTTCCATGGCAATGCCTCTGCCGCCACACACGGATACCTGTCCTCCATATTCCACTGGTAAATTGGGCTTTCAGTTTCTTTAAAAACATGCTCTCTCTCCTTCCACCTAGGAATTTGGGTTTTTTTTTTTTTTTTTTTTACACACACACACACACACACACACACTTATTGACGATCTAGCAATCAGTCATTACTGATTGGAGATGGATGATTTCTGTTGATCAATTGGTGATACTGCTTGTTGATTACCTACCAACTTATGTAATATTTTAGGGGCTTCTTCAATTTGCTTCATAAATTTTAGGAAGCTGTCATCTTGTCTGATTTGGTGGGGATTTTTTTTTTTCTCTATAGATTCAAAATGCCACTACTTCTAAATACGTTCTTAAAACCATCTTTTACTTAAGAATAAGATATAAAAAAAAGTTTACCATGTGTACTTTTCTTTTTCCCTCCAATAAGCCTGTTAAATTCCAAAATTGTAAATATGGACAACAAGCTTTTATTTCTCTTTCTCTTTTTTCCATTTCAGTTACTGCTCGAGTCCACTGCAAGAGCCCTTCTTCTATATACATCCACAACCGGCCATGTTCATCACCGTTGCCTTCCTGCAACGACCTTTCTGTAAATAATAATAATAATAATAATAGCAACAACTGTAATCCAGCAGCCAGACCCTCTTATGAGACTGTATTGACAGCGCATCCACAAACACAACCACCATCGCCTCCCCCTCCGCCCCCATTATCCTCCCAACAACAACAAAAACAATTGCTACTTTTGCAGCAGCAGAATCAATCCCAGCCTTCGTCATTTTGTCCCTCTTGCCCGTCTCCCGTCTCAGCATCATCGTTACCAACGACACAACCACAGTCACCGTCTTCATCATCATCGTCGTCATCATCACCATCGTCGTCATCTCTTCCCGCAGACCAAAGAGCGGCCCTGACTCATCTGTCACCATCTCCAGCCATTGCATTCCATTCGCCCCCTCACTACCCCTCCAAGTCCACAGAACCTTCCTCCACGCATCACCACCTGCCACCACACACACTCCCCCACACAGGTAGCAGAACTTTTGACGTTTGAGAAAAAAAAAAAATTCCCTTCTTTTCTACATTTTTCCCACTTCTCCCTCCCTTCTCCTCACCACCCCCCATCTTGATCACAAAAAGATTCAAAATATCTAAACTACCGAAGTAGGGCAGGTGCCTGTTCTTTCACTAATAACCCTTACAAAAGCGCTGTGATGTTTTCATAAAAAGACTGAGGCAAGAAAAGGAAAAACAAAAAAAAAAAAATATATATATATAACAGATGAAACTTGGTATAATATATATATATATATATATATATATATATATATATATATATATATATATATATATGGAGAAACGGAACTATTTCCAATGATGGAAGATTTTAGTTGTGGCTGGTAAAAGACAAGAACAATTGGAGTGATGGGGGCCCACAAAATGTTGAATTTTGCGTTGTACAAAAAAGGAAAAAAAATAATAATAATGGACAAGTTAAAAACGCCCCCCCACACACACAAGTTGCTTCATCAACTTTTCTCTAAAAATTCTTGCAAGCTGAAACAGTTTGAGTCGAAATTCTTACCCCCACCCTTCGTCAATCCCACCCCAAAAGACTATATTTTTCTTTGACAGTTTTTTTCATCTCATTTTTTGTTTTTGTTGTTTTTTTTTTTTTTTTTTTTTTTTTTTAAGAGAATCAGAAATTTTTTTTATTTATATTTTATAAAATTTCATCTCCCCTTCAGACTAGACATTTTTTCTTTTTAAAAGAGAAAAAAAAAAATTTATTTTTTCATGTTTTCTTTTTCATGCCCCCAGCTCTCCATTTTTTCCTGATTTTATTTTTTATTTATTTTTTAAAAAAAAAAAAGGGGGGCTAAAGTTTTGTGCATCAGGTCTCAAAATATTTTTGATGGCTCTCTCTCTCTCTCTTTCTCTCTACTGCTGTTATCTCTAGAGTCCATCTATCTCTTTCTCTCTCTGTCAGGAATCAGAGTAGAGATGCATTTATGTAAATGTTCCCCTCTCCACCTCCGAAACCCTCCCACCAACACTAAGTCGTCATCAATCATGTGGTCGGTCAGATTTGCTTCCATGTATGTATGTTTTAAATTTCAAGTCTTCATTTCTAAACATAAAGTGGCAGGAGGCGGGTGAATGTTTGGTTAATTTTACTTTTTTTTTTCTTTTCTTTTCTTTTTTTTTTAAGCTCACTTTCTTGTCTTATTTTCAAACAAATGACCATCTCATCTTTCTGTTCATATTCGGGTAGATACCCTGTTCCCTCTTGCACCCATTTTAGATTTTTAGATTACCTACACACATGAGGGTAGATTTTTTTTTTTTTTTTTTTTTTTTTTGTTTTTATCATAAGGATCCAAGGTGTTGGGTATTGTACATAAATTATTAGCATTGTCCTTGGTGAGCATACAGGAGCTTTGCAAATTTTAAAATTGAAGATCCCAGATCAATTACAAAACAAAATGAATTATTACTGCTATTTTAGCTATATATATATATATATATATATATATATATATATATGTAAAATACTTGAGAGTTAAGATTTGGGAGAAGGGGCATTGAATTTAGGTAAGCAAAACAGATTTGCTCAGGCTCAACTTTCGTCCTTTTCCATATTAGATATCCACTGGCATTTTGCAGCTGTATGTAGGGGGTTCCTACAAACGGGTATTGCTGCCAATGCATTTCTCCATTTTCTTCTCTTTTTTTTTTTTTTTTTTTTTAACCCCTACCTCTAATTAACAATCCAATTATAATCAGATATCCTGTTTTCACGCTTGTTGTATTAGCTTTTCTAATAACGGATTTTTTTTTCCTCATCATTATTATTATTATTATTATGGTATTACCTCAGAGCTGGAAAGAAAAAGAAAAATGTCATCCAATTTGTATGGGAAAATTTTGAGCTGAAAAAATAAAGAACAAGTAACTCAGGTAAAAAAAAATCTTAGCATAAAGGGAGATAACTGCATTGTAATTGAACTTACAGATTAGTCAAAGTACATCACAGTGGGACTTCCTTAAGATATCCTACCTCATTTCCTTTAAGAAATTGTTTATTATATAAAACACTTAGCTTAGTTTGGCACAAGGGCATAAATATGGAGACTCACAGTGAGGATCAAACTCAACAATAATGGCCAATCAAGTTTAGTTCTTGAGCCACTATCCCCCTCCTAAGATGCCCAAGAAATGGTGTCTTTTCAGCAAGTAATAATTACAACTTGAAAATTTATTTGTAAACAAAGCCAAACAATTTCAGCCAGATAAATTTCATTAATATACCTGAATTAGTTTGTTGTATCTGAGAAATCTTTATATATTATTAGGGTTTGTTGATTAAAGATTAACAAATGAACAATTATCAAAAAAAAAGAAAGTTAGGATAAATTTTCTGATTTTATTATCAGAAAATGAGAGAATTTATTTAGCTTTCTTCTGGGTGGTTGTTCAATAGTTTATTCATTTATCTTTAATTAACAAAACCTAATTTGAATTTGATTTCCAGATTTTATTTTGTTATGATGAGAAAAGAAAGTTATGATATCGTTTTTATTAGTTAATTTTCAGTGAACACTAAGTTTTAAACTGCTGTTAACGTTGTGTAGCATGATATCTAGGAAAGGTGAAGTGTTGTTTTCTTCCATTTCATATGTAAATTCTATTATGTGTCTGACTTTAGTTGATCTACAAGATCAGTATGACAGGTATATATTAATAGAGCATCATCACTATATCAGAAATATATCGATTATTTAGTTAAAATATTTTGGAAAGGACCAGATTTGAGAAATTCTAAGAAAATACATGCCATCGCTCCACTTAGGGGCCAACCACATTGGATACCAGGATATCCTGCTATGCCGCATTAACAACAGTATGCCTACCGAAAATTAACTAATAAAAATGATCTCATAAATTTTTATTCTCACCATAACAACAAAATAATATCCAGAATAATCATTAGATTCTGTTTAAGAGCACCCAGAATTTGCCACCCTGAGTATTTATGAAGAGGGAAAATACATTGGAAATACTACAAACTCCTTCAGTACCCTAACTCTTATATATATATATATATATATATATATATATATATATATATATATATATATATATATATATATATAAAAACTTCATAATTTACAGAATAATACTTCATTCAGGTATTGTTACTCTTTTATTCCTTGTATTTAATTGCTATTATAATCTGACTGATGTGAGACAGTAATTTATTTGAGTTTTTTCTATTTTTTTCTATCTCTCTCTCTCTCTCTCTCTATATATATATATATATATATATATATATATATATATATATATATATATATATATATGAAACCCTAAATTTAGAAAAAATTGAATGTTAAAACTCAAAATCTCCCCTAATTTTGAGTGGGCCTGCTTTTTACAGCTACAGATTAAAATCAAGATGATGTCAAATGAACATGGATCTATTAGAATTATCAGAAGTTAATTTAAAAAAAAAAAAAAATGTACAAATAGTTGATGTTTTCCCCCCAGTAAGAGCTGCTGATTTTAATTTCAAAGTTTCCATGTTTTTTAGATATGTTTCTTCAGCCTCTCCTGCACAAAATAGGGCAATATTTTTTTATATTGGAACAAAGGAGGCCACATTATCTTCTATGTGCTGTGTCCCTTCAGGACGTTGGTGATGAAGATTATTGACTTCAGGATATCAGGCTCTGGCTTAGACCATGTTATAATTATATTAAAGGCCCAAAAAAAATGATCCCTTTGCTCATGACCCCTGACTAGACAGGTCAACTTTTTCACCTCGTCTGCCCATTTTCCTCTACTTAAAATAATAATATTACCACCAAAACCAAATGAACATTTATCGTGTGTCGTTCTGTAAGTTTTTAAATATCGAGTTGGCTAAAAAGTACTTCAGTTTATGGAGTTATTTTTCTACTTAATAAGCAAGCAAACTTTTTATCCAACCTAGTACAAAAATAAAACATTCAGATGGGGATATTAGTTTAGACTGTGTCACAATTACAAGTTAAAAAAATTGCAAGATTTTGGCGGGGGTGGGTAATCTAATTTGTTATTAATGCCATTAGTATATACTGAAATCCTAAACAATTTTCTACTAAAACTTTCTTTCCCTTGAATAAATTAAATAATAAAAAAAAAAAAAAAGTTTTTCTTAAAAGATCGTGAAAATAGATTCTCTAGAATTTGTGTTGGCCCACTAGATGCGGGGGAGGTTGGAGCATAATAAAGTCAGTCAGCTACCTCAGATTCTTAATTCTTTCTTCTCTACAAATGGGGGAGGAGAGATGGAACAGATTAATTCTCTCATCAACATATAGAATATGCAGGACATGTCACTAAACAAAACACCTGTTATTCATTCATAGTCTAGACCAGTGTTTCTCTGACCCCCCCCTTTTTTTTTTTATATATATATATTTCAGGGCATGCATGAAGAATAACTAGAACTCTGGGGCGTATTTTAAATTTTAATAATGAAACATTAATCATGAAATTTGAAAATAGAAAAATAATAAAGGAATGCCCTGAAATAAACATTTATTTTTAAGGAATTGTATATTTAAGTATACTTGTGCAAAACCTGTGTCTGATGTGCTTTGGCAAAGAATAAAATTAATGGTTGTTATTTTTGGTTTAGCGTTCTCAAAGTAGATTAGCAGTACAGTTTTCATTTAAAGGAACATATGAAGAATCTGCTTCTTTTTATTTATTTATTTTGTTTTGTTAGGTCGATACTGATTTAATTTCGTTGAAGAAAGTAAAATGTAAAGGATTATCTAATTCTTAAAAAGTTAAAAATTTAGCATCCAGTTAAAAAAAAAAAAATATCAAAGACTTAAACATGGAAACCATGTGTTTGGTATCTCTAGCATTTTAAAAATAAAGATTTTTTTTTTTTTTTGATTTTTTTTTTTTTTTAATATAAAAATAACTCAAATTACTCTTCTGTTAATTTGGCGTGCAACTGGCAACCTTTCAAGGAACATTAGTGCAACCAGATGCATCAGCTGAGAAACACTGGAATAGGTTTACGATGGACCACTTCACATAGACTGGGCCAATTAAAAAAAAAAAAAAAAAA